TGGTTGATGTCTGCTATTTTACTAAAAAAAAAAACTTAAAATCTATTATACTGAAAATGTCAAAGCCTTGCAAAAAAATTAATACAATAGGAAATATCAAGAGCTTCTTATAAAGGTACAAGGTTGTTAATACTATAGTGACTCTATTCCATTAGCACATAATACATTACTTTTGGAAGGGACATTTTAATGATGTGTTTTATGCAGAAGAGATTTCAAACAGATCCCAAAAGCTCAATATGAAGATAAAAAATGAGTTTTACATGTTGAGGTTTTAGAATATATCCTACAAATTCTTTCTCCCTGTCCCATACAGATATTTTTACTTAATGCATTGAATAGTTTTCAAGCCTTCCTAATCTTGCTTCAGGTTCCTAAGATTCTTGGGAGCTCTGATAAATCTGCTTGGGTTTCAACAGTCTGCTCCACTGACTACTGCACTTACTAAAACCAGCTTTTAGAGCAATGCTGATTTTTTTACCTAACAAAGAATAGGAATAAGTTCTTAACTGCAACAGCCCTCAGGGAATTCTGGATGGGCACCACTCTGCTGGCATAAGGGAACAAGGCACAGTTTATAGGTTTGCTTCCAAGACTGGTCCTGTCTGAGGTGATGTGCAGAACATCAGATTGACTTAGCACCTCCTCCTGGGACAAACTCCACCCTCCACTGCAGTCAGGCCCCAATCATGAAATTTTACTTTCATGAGCCCAGAGGTCAGCGCTTTTCATTCGCTATTTATAAAGAAAAATATGGGAAACTCAGCAGCTGAAACTGGGAAGCAGTTTTCATATATTGTCTAATTATTTCCACAAGCTCTGCTTCAACTTGCGGCTAGATGTTTTATTTTAATTTTTCTGTTCAGCAGTTACAGCACAGTTCAGCCCAAGTTTGGAAGTCCTAACAGGAAACATTAATTGATATATGAGACCTTACTATATTCTACTGCCTTCTAAAAGAGACTGGGGAAACTGGAAGAACATTTAAATATTAAATAGAGGATTTTTCTTTTCCAAAATTTCAGAAAAAGCTATCATTTTACAGATTTTGTAATTTGTTAGTACAAATTAAGTCCAAGATAAGATGGGTGAAAATAGACCTGCTTTCTCCTTCTCAGATTGTCCTAACCAAGACAGTCTTTACCTTTGTGGTGCTCACTAAGTGCCTTCTCTGGCAACACTGAAGTCAATGGAAACTTTGCTGACGATTTCAAAAGCAAAGGCTCAGAGCCAAATTCCCCATGTATAACTTCAGCCTTACAAAACATTCTGCAGAATTATATAAACAGCAATAATTTTACTCAGAAGGCAAATCTCTACCCCAGGGCAATTATTGTACTTGCCCAAGCACCCCAGAATTTCTGTCATGCATTCATTTTCAGGATGCAAAACACTACAGTGGGTAAGAAAACAGTGTGCAGCTCCTACATAAAAAGCTTTCCCCACCACCACTGTTTGTTATATCAACTTTTCAAGCCCTTTGCTGGTAGCAGAAATCCTAGTAACTAATCCAGTGGGCTGTATTTTATAGCCATGAGATTGCAGCTCTCTTTGGACAATCATCAGGCATATTTACACATAAATTAGGGGACAGCAGTGACTCTAAAGCATGTATGTGCATCATGACAAAACATAAAATATGCTTTAGTTGGGGAAAAGACTTCCAGGTTTACATACTCACTTAACATACGTTAGCTGGCAGGTTTGCAGGCTTCACCCCCTGCAATCCCTGTCAGCATAAAGATCATATTCTACAGACTTTACTTGTCCAAACCCACAGATCTCTACAGATGTCTACAATACTATAGGTCCCTGATTACTTGTGATACCTAAAGATTTTGTGTTTTGCATATTTTAAGGACAGGTGAAAGTTCTAGCACTTTAGAAATCTAGCATTCTTGATTTCAGCTATGAGAAGGAGGTGTGTGGCCTTTGCTGATGGTTTTGTTTCAGTCTTTTAGATATTTAATAAATTTGGAAATTCCTAAGTAAAATATAATTCTCAATTTGCTTTTTGAGATTGTGAAATTAAGGACAGACACACTGAAATTAACCTAAAGGAACAGAAATATAAAGCAAAAAGCCCATTACATCTACCTGCTTAGATCAGAGGATTAAATCCAGGGATGCTATTAGATCTGAAGCTCTCCATCAAGACCTGAGATTACAAGTCCACTTGCTCTAAATAACAAATCCCTCTCTCCTTTTCAGAATCCTTAGGACCTACTTTCCAGGAAGGGAAAGTGAGTTATTATTTCAAAGCACTACCATAACAGTCACAGTCTTAAGCGTTTTCCACAGCAGCTCTACACATGTACATAAGCAGCAATTCATGTCTTGAGTCACTAGTTTAGAAGCTTACAGAGATCCATCACCCACTCAGACTTCCTTTCTGTCAGTGATACTGAGATCCAAAACATCTCTTTGACCCACTTTTCAAAGGAAGCACAGACACAGAGCACATCACAAGGAAATTCTTCTACTTAGTTTATAGGAAGGTTGCAAGTTAGGACAGCAAAAAGATGTATCTCTGCCCACAAATCCCCCAGATCTTTAAATAGCCCACATAATAACCTTGAAACAGCAAAGATCTTCTTTCCCCTTCCACTCACAAGCCATTTCATCCTCCTTTTTCCTGGACTTACACACTTCTCTAAGAACAGCAGAGGAGGAAGGAGAACTCCATGCGAGGAACATACACGACCCATGAAAGGAGAAGCTCTCATGTATGTCCCTCCCAGGTCCAACTCCCTGTACCTCACTGCCCATACTCTGTCCTAACTAACTTTTTTAAAAGTTATTTGACACCAAATTATCCTTAAAAGCTGTCAGGAAGCAGACAGATTGAAAGTAAGATGGAAGCAGCTGGGGCTAAACATTGGAGTTATGAATCTGGCTGCTAGATAATTCTTAATTTCCAATGTTTTGGTCCCAGATAAATAGGACTATATGATTAAAACTGACCCTGACATATAAAAAGATAGGCAGTAGGGGGGTATACAGGTTTCATGCTCACAGACAATTTAGAACTTAATCCAGAAGAATGTGAAGCAGATGGGTTTCGAAAAGTTAAATACAATGAAAATCCTAGGTACTTATCAGTGCTGATGCTAACAATATTCACCATGCAAAAATAAGTAACTTGTACTTTCTGTATTAAATTACACTTTTGTCATCATAATACCTTTACTGAAGATAAATTTACACATAAGTACTTCATTATATATTCTAAGTTACAAAATAAAAAAGAATTGTGTGAAATAATAATAGTAGCTGTTGAAGTGCTAAATCATTTATTAGAAATATGTATTTGGTTCAGTATTGGAGGACTCAGACACAGATTAGTTATCCCAACACTTACACATTGTTAAAAATAAGTAATGGAAATTTAAACACATTCTAGAATAATACACAAAGTTATACATCCTTGCACAAGTTGAAGGGTTGCATAAAATATCACAAGCAAAGTAATACATGCAAGACCAACAAATCAGAACGGGGGGTCTTTGGAGGCTAGGAATACAAGAACATTACATAAGTGAGGAGCCTCGGTATTCAGCATTTCATATATTGGACTGAGTCTTAATTCCCACTCTTCTAATAAACTTAGATTTCTGTGAGTTGTATCATTAAATTATTAAGCTCCAAGTGTGGTATAATTGTTGATTTGGGAACTTATTGTTGATTAAAAACATGAAGGTCACATTTAGAAATCTAACCTAAGAGTACTAAGCTGTTCATTAATGATACTCCAGAGAAAAACAGAAGTAAAACTATTACAAGTTTTGCAACAAGATCTGAAATGCTTTAACAAGTAAGATTCATTTATCACATCTCTTGAAACTGAATGAAGAAAACTTACACTAAAGTTTACAAAACACCTACCATATGAAATATAAATGCAGTAACTGTCAGCACTCACAAGAACACTGTCTACACTCAGAACTCCCAATTCACCCAATCTGTGCATGGCAGAAACTAAAAACTATCTAATCACTGCAGAGATGGAAATTCACCACTGATTGCAGAGAATTTTTCACCAGGTGAAGCCATGCTATGCAGATCATCTCACTAACACAAGCTGTTAGTAACAGAAACCTAAGTCTTCAATTTCAGCTATCACTTCCTTGCACTGACCTCATTCTTTCATGTTGTTTACATTCTGCTGTCTGGAGCAAAAGAAGACCTTAACATACACATTAGTAAGACAAAATTGTGTTTTAGTTTGTCAAGGAAATTCAATACACTTTAGTGCAGGGTACCTACCAAAAAACACAGATAAAACTTAAAACCAAAATATCAGGAAAGGAAATAATGAAATTTTTCTGTACTAAAGGAAACATGCTTTAACACTTGAAGATATTTGTTTTTCTCTGTACACCATTTCAATTAAACACATCTTTGTGGTATTAATTCACATCTAACAGGACTAAAACACAGACTGTATAAAGAAATGGGTCTGGAAATGCCTTTTTAAAAGATAAGTTCCAGACCAGGTAATCCACCAACATGAACCCGTCCGGCACTGTTAAAAGCATGAGGAAGGGAAAGTCATACAATTAAAAAAAGAAAAAAGAAAAGAAAAAGAGAATCTGTCAATCTGAGATTTATCTGTTTCTCTATAACATGTATTGCTCCTAAGACCCTCTCTTGGTCAGCACAATACAGATGACAGTATCTGTGAATCAGGTTGCCTTGAATTACTGACTACATACCTTTATTAATCAAGTCTCAGTATAATTAACACAGCTTTTTCTTTTCCATTCTTGTATAGTCCCAAACCATTTGTAAGCAGTACGAGGTTGCATTGACTACACCCAGTTTTTAAGCAGCTAAAATCTGACAAAGAGGTAGAATTTGAAGAGGGTGGGGGAGAAGAGGTAAAGAACCATCTCCTCGGTATCACAAGAACAAGGTACTGTACCTTTAAGGAGGAAAAATGGTTCCGTTCTGTTTCACGGCTGAAAAAGAGCTAATTCCTGGTTATAGAGATTACTTACCTAAAACTTCAGTTATTCCTCTCTTTCCCCTCGGGCCAGCCTCTCTTTCACTCTTGGGAGCTTTTACCATTTAAGGTCAATGTTACATCTGGCTGTAGTAACTAAAGCTGAAGCAATTTTTAACTCAGAGATCCAACAGGCTGCCTAACATTAGAATGAGTGTTTAAATTTAAAGTAACTCTTCAGAAAGCTTTTCTTGTCTCAGAGAATTACAGAATTAAAGGCTCTCCTGTTCTGGCATAAGTACTCTGGGTACAACATGATGCAGACATCCTATTAGCATTCTTCAAGTTCAGTGCATATAAGCTCTACTTACTCATTTCTGATTAAAATGGGCAAGTAGGAAGAACAGATGAAACAGCTTACATCATGTTATTTTAACCCTTAGAATTTTTTACTGACACAGATGCTACTATTTTTCATTCCTCTCCCCCTCCCTTTGTTTGGTCAGAAGGAGTCTAAATTAGAGAGCAAATAGAAGGCATGTGAACTTTTAAAGAACACTGGCTTCAGTCCAGTCATGGGCTCTGCTCTCCACTTGCAGAGTAGGAATAATTCCCAATGAAATCCACAGAATTTGCTTGTATCCCATGAGAGAATGTAGCCACAAATGAGGCTTGGGGAGGGAAAAGAAACCTAAAACCTTTACCACAGTACATTCAGGTACCTACAGAGCAATCACATGCGTGTGATTCAGAGCTCTCAGCTCTAAAATGAACAGATTTTACTTCAGCCCTTTAGCTACTTTAGACTATTTACATATGAGTATTACAATAACATCACAGATCCAAACTAAGAGTTCTCTAATGCCAGGTGCTGGGAAGTTATTAAATGAAAGAAAGCCAAGCCAAGTCCAAAAATCCTTTCACAATTGAAGTAAAGACAAGAGAAAAGCGGATGGGTAAAAAAAAAAAAAAGGGCAGCAGATTGCATGTAAAATTATTGGATAGTAAGTTTTTCAGGCGATATATTAGGGCTATTTTAAAAGAAAGCAGCAAATGATACTAAATTAACTGCCTTTTGATAGTGACTGATTAGATCAGTAATGCAGAAACAAATCAGACAAAGGAAAGTAAGGATCTGATGATTTGACTTGGAAAACACCATCAGGGACTGGTGCATGGCTTGTAAAAATGGGCAAAGATGAGTTGATGGAAACATAGCACGGAAAATAAGAAGCTGAGCACCTGCTTTGTGCCACATCATGTTTCAGCTGGCATTAGAAAGTCTATTATTCTACATTTAAGACATTCAATAATACATAAAATCAACATAGTGAAAAAAGACCGAAAAACTTCTCTAAGGTGAGTGCTTAAGCTTTTTCCCCACATAAAAGGAGTAGCTAGGTTTTCTAAATACCTTTTCAGGTATTGAGGTCTAGTCCTTGACACCATTACTGACTCTGACAAGGCATTTTAAGACACCTCCTTTCATCTTTTTGAATTACTACTTCATTACCCACAAATTCAAGTTCTGAAATAGCCTCTTATGACTCAACCTGGTTTCAGTCTCCCATCTAGCTATCAGCAGCTACAGAATTTTTATTAGCATGTGTCATTCATCATTTTTCAGTTTTGTTACCTTAAAATTTCTAGGGCACAAGTGTCAAATGCTTCATTTGTCTACAACAGAAGTTGTGGTTCTGTTAAATCTCTTTTCATCCCTTTTTAGAGCAACAACTACTTTGAACCCAGTTTGGGCAAGAACAAGTTGTTTACTGTCTTTCAGCATTACTGTCCTCTGGGAAACAAAACTTTTCACTGAAGTTGTGCTTGTTCATTGGTCTAGCATCCTGCAACCACTGCTGGCCAAATTTAGCCCAAATTTCTTAAAGTAATTGAGGCCTCACAATATTTTCAAGTTCCCAGAGAGTTAGTGAAACCAGTGCTTGTAAAGAAGATTTAAGCTACTGCACCTGCTATGGGGAAAACCTGTGGTGGCAAAGTTCAGTTTTATTTTGTTTGGCCCCTCCACTTACATCAAACAAACATGACTCCTGCTGTCTAGGCAGGATTTAGGGAGCACAGAAGGTACCTGGAGGTACTCACAAGAGGAGGAAAACAAAGCTTCCATCAATCTTCTGCTCTTGAAACTGCTTTGTATATTCTAATCTATGGCTTTAGCAGATCCTTTGCCCAGAGATTTGTTTAATGTGAACATTTTCAGGCCAAACAGAGAGGAAAGCTGCTAGCTAAAATTTAAATTATTGAATGAGGAAACATTAGCAGCTAAAATTTAATTTCAACTAGATTGTTAAAATTCTATGAAGAAGGTATAGTAATGTGTACCAGATAAAAAAAGTAATTTGTTTGCTTTTTTTTTTTTAAGATCTGGTGATATTTGTTTTGTTAAAAACATTCTAATACAGATGGCTTGGCCACTCCCCCATAACACAACATATTTATGTTGCCAGTATTCCAGTATTGCATACCCCTGGGAGAGCATGAAATTATTTTTTTGTAAGCATTCTGAAGTATTTCAGAGTAGCTAGATGCAGCTCTCTGCAGTTACATATGGCTTGGTGGTTATGGGATGTGTGTGCCCCCATCCCACACCAGTTAACTTCCCATTTCCCTGATTTTCACAGCTCTGTGACCTATGAAAGCAGCAGTGCAGGAGCAGCAAATTTAACACAGCAATGTTAAGTTTCCTGGGTTGGGCTCCTCAAGCTCTAAGTTTTTTATTTGTACCTTTATGGAGGTGAAAACCAGCACTAAACACAAGCACTAAAATTCTTGTCATACTGAAGCAATGGAGAGTTCTGCCTCTCAGGCTGAAGCAGAAGCAAGATCCTTACAGGGACTTCATTTTTGGAGCACAACCATTTTCAAGCACAAGCTTTGTCTAGGAATAGCAGAAATTTGATCTTGCCATGATCTTTGGATTTTTTTCTAGTTTTGGCTTTAATTGGTCAGCCTGGGAGATAAGAACTTTAACTCAAATGGCATACTTGTGTAGAAATAGTCACAGGTATATTCATTTGAGCTTTTGACAATGCTCATATTTTTTAACACTTGCTATATTATTATTATTACTGTTATTTTTTAAGATTTTATGCTTCAGGACTTAGATACTTTGCATTAAAATGTTATTTATGATCCTTCCTGCACATATGTAATAGCCATCCATAATGGCAAGTCACGATTACATGCTCTATTTTTTATCCAGTGACTAAAGTAAAAAGATTATTCATCAGAGAGGATAAAAATTTGAGGTAGAAGTGATAACATTTGCACTTAAAACTGGAGTTCTAGGACATGATTTTTCATGCTCCAATTTAAAAGCAACTCAAAGTTGTTTTCATCAGTTAAAACTTCACTTGCATCACACTTACAACACGTCTCTGTCCATCTCAGATCCACCTCACAAATAACAACATGCATTGACAGTTTTCTTTATTGAATCATCACCACCAGCTTATTTGTCAATTGTATGGAAAATTAGCTGAGTTAAAGTTTATACCAAATTTTTGCTATGTCCCTTTGTTTTCTTGCACAGAACATTTTTCCAAATTTAAATATTTAGTCCTGCATCAGATTTGTGTTTTCAATGGCTTTTCTGGCTTCTATGTTGCTACCATCATAGTGCACACAAAACTGAAATCACCTTCTCTCATCTGATGGCACCCATTATGCAAATCTTATTTATGCATGCAATTATTATCTGCCAGCTTCATCCAGACAGGATAAAAAGAACCAAAATAAGAGCAATTCTGCAAAGTTAATATATGAAAAAAACAAACAAAAAAAAAAATCCAAGGCAAAAGCATGCAATAAAATTTTCCCATCTGGGACCCATTCTGCTGAATATTAAATCCTGAATGCAACCCAGAAAAATAGAACTAAAATGTGTGCTGTTCAAAAGAGTGGAATTACTCAATATCACTTTGCCAGTCAGCTATACTAGATCATTTATGCAAAATGTAACAAACTTTATTAACTTTTAATAATGTTTATGCAGCACCTTATCTAGATGAGAATTAACTTTTATTTAGAAATTGCTTCCAATTTTCTCCAGCAAAAGAGAAGCTCTTCACATAAATCAGAAACGCTAAATTAGAAGAATATGCAATTGCAGAGCCTGCAGAAGGAGGTAAGGAGAGGCTTGCTAGAGCCCAGTCATCTTAAAGAAAACACCTCTATGGACAGCAATGGAAATCAAGTTTGCTTTGATGTCATGATTGAGGTACAGATGATCCTGTAAACCAGCCCATGTCACATGGAAAGATTTGAGACTTTAGGGACAAGGGCTCAAAGTGCCTGCAAAACCCTTCTTCATCAAGCCTCAACGAGTCTTTTTATTTATAAAAAAGCTAATATTTTTCTCAGTCCCAAAATAGCCAGCTAATAATCTCTATATGAGAAACAGGCAGGGGGCAAGAACCAAAATGTCAATCTGTTTTCCAGCTTCCATTGCCAGATGATCAATAAAATGATCCAAACTGACAAACACAGTTTCAATGCCCAAGTCCTTCTGGACAAATGCTACTCAAAACATTTACAGCAATCATTTTATTTTCTTTTCCCATATTCATGTTGACTTTTTTTTCTTTTTCCCCTCCTCCCTTTAAGAAAGCGGTTTTAAAAATGGAGTTCCAATAAAGCACCAAATTAGGATGTTTATAATAACTTACCAGAAAGCAAAACAGTATCAGAAATTAAAGCCTTTGTGGGCAAGGAAGTTACTCTGTTTCCATGCCCTTAAAATCTAGCCTGCCAAGAAGCTAAATATATCAAATATTTTTTAGCACACATAGAGTCTTCCAAGGTCATGGATGCATTTCACTTAGTCTAATTAACTGTTTTTTGAGGTGGAGCTTTAATTTCTGTTAATAGCAATTGAAACCTTAGCATGCCTACAAGCAATACATTAAATACGCTGTTACGTGATTGTCCTGTGCTGTAGGGAAAAATCTCTCAGGAAGATGATACAGTTGAAAAAAAACAAAAACAGAAACAAAGAAAAGCACTGCTAGTTTCTGATTTTTTTTTGGGGGGGGAAGAAAAAAAAAGAGTAAAGTTTATCAATCAAAGAAGATCTTACAGAAGATTTGACACAGCCATAGCCATTGGGTAAATAATCATCTATAGAGCTTCTCCATCAGAG